TCAAACATCGACTGGTGGTGCCCAGCGGAGATAACCTGTTGAATGCCGAAGCCCAGCCCTGTCACGCCTGCATCAGGGCTGCTGGAGGACACCTAAAATCTCTGCGACACCTAAAATCAGTGCCTGGGGAAGCAACTGCTGCTCAGCAGACCTTGAAAGGGAACATCCCTGTCCTTGGGTGAGTCGGAGAACACTCCACGCCCCCAGGCTCTCATGGAAGGGCTGCTGTCAGTCAGCCCAACCGCAGCTACCCGGGGGCCCAACGGTCTCTGTGTGGTGCTGTGTCTGTGGTTACAATCTGCGTCTGCTTTCACTCCCTAATTCTGCACCTGGTTCCCCTTTTGTAGACGGTAAGAAGTCGTATAGTTCTTAAAGTCTTTGTTCTTACTCTATGGGCATAACGTAAAGTGCTGACGCATCCTGCTGCCCCCCACTTCGGCTCCTTGCAAGCCCTGGGCCCCTTGTTCCTTTGACATGTGATTTGCTTGACCCTGTCAGTAACTGGAGGACTCACCCTACTTACCCTGCCCCCCGGTTTTGTACCCAGTAAAAGTCAGAGTGTCCAGGCACTGGGCCACTCCCAGTCTCCGCGCACCGGTGGCAGTGGTCCCCTGCGCCCCGCTCTTTTTCTCTCGATCTTGGTGCATGTGTCTTTATCTCTATGGTCTTTCGTCTCTGCACCCGCAGAGAATACCCTCGAGACCAGCGGGGCTGGAGCCCGCACTGCTGGTTTCTCTCCCAGTGTGGCTGGGTCTGGGGCTTTTACGGGCTCAGAATGGGGGAATACGTGCTGAGTGCAGAAAAAGTCTGAAACAAAAGCACCCCTCAAAGGTGGGCACGACTGTGCAGAAAACCAGTCAGGAAGGGGTGGGGCCGTGTCATGTGAAACAGGGGAAGGGTGGGGTCAGCTGGAGGAAAGCATGCTCAGTGCTGGGCAGGTTCTCAGTCTGGTCTGAGGGTTTAATTTGTAGCTTGGTGTTATGGTGAACCCCAAGTTTCTCTTCAAAGAATCAGTATGTCAGTATGTTCAGCTCTCTTATTCTTTAAATCTCTAAAGTTTAACTTCCTTGTAATTCCGGCAAACAGCCTTCTCCAAACTGAATGTTCACATCTGCTCTCCCCACCCCCTGCTCCATCCTGAATCATCCCGGTCACCTGGTCACCCCCGGCTACCTGCTGCCTGACACGCCTGTCACCATCCTTTCCGCCAAGACACCCACCCTGCCACTCCAGCGTGGACCTCTGCTCTTTTCAAAATAGCCAATCAGATTAGTTTGTGCCGTCTAACCCTGGTCAATAGGGGATGCCATGGCCATAGGAATGACCCCCTGTGGGGTGTAAGTACCCCTCCCCGCTTGTCCAAGTGTGCGGCAGCCACCTTTGCTCCGTCCGTGCGCCCTGCGCCCTTCTGTAGAAGTAAACTGCCTGGCTGAGAGGACATGCCTTCAAGTGCTGTTTCTTTTGTGGCATTGAAAGGTCACATTGGCTTTCAGGCTTTAAACTGTCTTTGGCGTGGACATGGAGTTTCGCTGAGAACCTGCCTGTCTGCCTAGGATTCGTCCGTCTCCTGCCACTATCGAAAGGTGGGGTCTGGGGGTTAGGTTAATGTGCTGGTTGCCTGGGCTGGGCTGCAGGCCCGAGCTCCTGGCCGGGGGTGGGGAGGCTCTTTGCCCACAGCGTGAGGGAGCTTCACGGTTAACCAGGCTGTCCCCTGTGCTGGCCACGAGGCACCGGCAGAATCGAGGGCCTTGGGAACCCAGGTGCTGCTGCATGAGGCTGTCGCAGCCACGAGGAGGGCCACCACCGCCCTAAGGTGGTGTCCAGCAGCACTACCAGGAAGGAGCCACACGTTCAGGTCTCAACGCAGCTTAAGTCACAGCCAGAGCGTCCGGACTGCCACGGCCACAGAAGAGTCCCTTGTTCCTTAGAGGCTCAGGGCTGCTGCTGCTGCGGAGACTCGGACGCACAGTCTACTTCTGAGCGCGTGACTGCAGTGTGAGCAGTGCATTCGCTGTGTGAGCATTCACCGCCTGACCACCGGGACCTGGGCACTGAGAAGTAAACTCCCCGCACAGTCTACTTCTGAGCGTGTGACTGCAGTGTGAGCAGTGCATTCGCCGTGTGAGCATTCACCGCCTGACCACCGGGACCTGGGCACTGAGAAGTAAACTCCCCGCACAGTCTACTTCTGAGCGTGTGACTGCAGTGTGAGCAGTGCATTCACCGTGTGAGCATTCACCGCCTGACCACCGGGACCTGGGCACTGAGAAGTAAACTCCCCGCACAGTCTACTTCTGAGCGTGTGACTGCAGTGTGAGCAGTGCATTCACCATGTATGTGAGCAAAATTCACCGCCTGACCACCATGACCTGGGCACTGAGTGGCAAGGAACTGGACACTGAAGCTTGCAATGGGGATGTCCTTTTGGGCTCAGATGAAGCCGGGAATCGTGAACCTCCTAGTTCTCTGAGCCTCCCCTTCCAGGGGAAGCAGCTTGTCCTCCTCAGTCTGAGAGTAGCCTTTATTTATTTTTTATTTTTCGCTGAAAAACCCTGTGATAAGAAATGACGCTCGTTCTCACGAACTGCCAGAGCCACCCCGTTGCTTCTAGAGCCTCAGCCTGCTCCGAGAGGGGAAGGGTCAAGTACAAAGCCTGACGCAGGAGGAAACCATTTCCACACCAAATGCGTGTGAGATGTCTCAAATTCACACATTGATTCTGGGGAACCACATGGGAACGCAGGGAGCGAATTAATGCAGCGGGAGGGCTTGGCGTTATTGATACGGGTCCACTGACTAGAGATTCTGAATTTAATGCGCCGGCTCACATTAGTGGCTGAAGATGACTCCACCAGTTTACTTGGTTGAATGAAATCTGGATTTGCTGGCGGTCAACGGTTACTGAACGTCCCTAGTGTCATGTCAAGGCAGGAATTGTGCAAGGCAAGGCACACTTCCTTCCATCCAGGCCTGATTTCTCTCCGCCTCCAGCTGAGCACTGAGGAAGAGGCAGGCCGGGGACTGCCCAGGGAAGTGGCCAGAGGAGCCGTGGACATGCCCCTCCAGGTGCCACACCCAGGCCTCGGGGACAAATGCATCCACACCTTCCTGGAACCCTGCTGAGCATGCGCACCTGAAGGGATCCCTACGGAGCACGGAGCATGCCGAGGGGCTGCTGATTGTGGGTGTCTGCTGAGTCCTGGAGCAGCTCCCTCAGGCAAAGCCAGGGCCGGAGCCCAGCAGGGATGGGATAAGGGGAACCGAGACTCACCCCCTGTGCTCTGGGCCAGTGTCAGGGCGGAGGTGGCGGGCCAGGGAAATGGCATGTCTTTGTCTGGGCTGCCCCACCAGCATGGCAGAGACAGGTGGTTCATCAACAGACAAACGTTTATTTCTCTCAGTTCTGGAGGCTGGAAGCCTGAGACGAAGGCGCCAGCTCGCTCTCTGGTGAGGGTCCCTCCTGGTTCACAGATGGCTTCTCACTGTGTCTCCACGTGGTGGAGGGGCTCGGGAGCATTCTGGGGTCTCTTTTATAAGGACACGAATTCCACTCATGAGGTTCCACCCCAATCACCTTCCCAAAGGCCCCGCTTCTGATACCATCACCTTCAACACATGAAGTTTGGGGGGACGCAGACACTCGGAGCATAGCAAGGAGCCAGGCCAGGCAGAGGCTGATGAGAGAGACCCTCCTGGTGAGCCAGTGGCAGAGGGGGCAGCCCCTGGGGAGGGAGAAACAGAGGTCCCGAGGCCCTGGAGGAGCCTCAGCGGGGCTGGCATCTGTCCTCAGCCTTGCATGGACAGACAGGACAGGACGAACCAGGTGAGGAGGCTGGGAGGAGCAGGAAAGGTGGAGGGAGGGCACCCCCAAGGGACCCCCATGAAAACACCCTGAACGGTCAGCTTGGGATATGGGCTGGCTGGGCCCATTTGGGAGCTCTGTCAGTGGGGAGGGCCCAGGCTGTACTGGAGGCTGGCGCAAGGCTCAGGCCGGGGTCTGAGCAAAAGGCAGCTTCGCACCCAAGGAGCGGCTTCTGGGGCTGGCACCACCTCCCCAAGAGCCCCAGGGGTCTGACATCAATCCTGTCCAACCTGTAGGACCCCAGGCCATGGACAAGACCTGGGCCTTCTTCTTCAAGGTCTGAGGCCCAGGTGTGGGCGCCCCAGCTTCAGGGACAAGGTTGCTAGTGGTAGAAGGACTGTGAAGCTTCCAGGATGCTCCCTCAATGCAAGTAGGAAGCTGTCCCCTCCTTCCCAAGGCAAAAAGGTGTGGGGCTGGCAGCCCAACCCTGACTCATGCTGGGGCTGGGGGCTGGGAAGCGGGGTGTGGGGAGGGCCGGGAAGGGGGGTGTGGGGAGGGCCAGGAAGGGGGGTGTGGGGAGGGCCGGGAAGCAGGGTGTGGGGAGGGCTGGGAAGCAGGGTGTGGGGAGGGTTGGGAAGGGGGGTGTGGGGAGGGCCGGGAAGGGGGATGGGGGAAGAAAGCTGCCTAGATGCCATGGCACGAGACTGAAGGCATAATCTGTCCCAGTGTAACAAATGATTACAATTATACCAAATAGATTTACTGATTACTTAGTTATAGCATAATAAATAACTGATTACTTATAGGGAGGACACCAATTAGACTTAGATACAATCACATAATCAATTATATGCTCAGTCTTATTACATTACAAACGTTATTAAGCTTTGCTTTAGTATTCCAGTGGAGAGGAACATTTTAGCCTTATAGTATAGAAATAATCAGGTGAAATGTAATTTGGAACTGAAAGGACATTGTGAGAAGTGATCAGGAGGCGAGAGTAAATGCCTTGCGTTAGCGCCAGGTAAGATGCCTGTTACTTAGCAGGCAAGCCTTGCAGTAATGCCAGAGCCTGGTGTTTTACACCTGTTACTTTGCAGGCCATGAGGGGGAGTTTCCCTTTCACTGGGGAGTTCAGAGAACACTCTGCACCATCCAGCTCTTGAGGAGGGTCTGACACTAGCCAGGCCCGCAGACATCCGGGGGCTTAGACACCTCTCCGTGGTGCTGTGCTCCGATGGTCACCATCCTCGTCCACTTACACGTTCCACTTTCCCACCCGATGCTCCCTTGTAAATTCTTAGAAGTAAGAGTAGAGGAATCCTAAAAGCCTTTGATCTCTCTGATAAGTGCAATGAAAGATACTGACGTATATGCCTCCCCTCCTTGCAGTGGCTGCCTGAGAGGGAGGGGCCTCTGTACTGTACCCATGTGACCCCTGTAGTATACCCATGTGACCCCCTGAACTGTACCCACGTGGCCCCCCTGTATTATCAGTATGTGATTTGCCTGGCCCCTACCAATCATGTCAGATGAGTCACTCTCCAACCCTGCCCCCTGCCTTGTATACAATAAATACCAGCATGTCCAGGCATTGGGGCCACTGATGGACTCCGCGCCTTGGTAGCAGTGGACCCCCGGCCCAGCTGAATTATCTCTGTGTCTTGTGTCTTTCTTTTCCATGATCTGTCTTCTCCACACACAAAAGAACACCCACGAGACCCTGCCGGGCTAGACCCTGCAGTGGGGAGGGCTGGGAAGAGGGATGGGAGAGGGCCAGGAAGGGGTTGTGGGGAGGGCAGGGGTGTACCTCCCCAATTTGGGGAGCTGGGTGCACTCCAGGGCCTGGACATTGGGTGCAAGTCCTAGGGTGGCCCCGTGATCAGGGCTGGGAGACGGTCGAGCCCTGTCACTGGAGCCAACAGCCTGAGGATGCCTCCCTCCGGATTCTTGCCTTCAGCCTCTTCAGGCCGCGGTGGCTGGGGTCCACCAGGAGGCCGCTCTCAGCCGCTGTCCAGGCCTCCGCGTGACGCTGCCCCTCCAGGCAGCACTGGCCAAGGAGGAGGAACATGTGTGCAGTGGGACCCCGGCCTGGCCGCTCACACAGGCTGTTCTGGGCCAAGGTGGGAGCCAACTTCAGGGCCTGGGCAAAGGCCCCTGCGGCCCCCGCCTCATCCCCCAGGCTGAGCAGCAGGCGGCCCTGACAGCAGAAGTCCTCTGCCCGCCTTGGGAGGTCACTGTCCGCCGCAGCCTCCTGTAGCACATGGTCCAGGTCCCTGAGGGCCCGGTCAAACTCCTGCAGCTCGGCCAGGCAGGTGGCCCGCAGACGCAGGTGACACGCACTGCCGCCACCAGCCAGGACAGACAGTGAGCAGTAGCCCAGTGCCTGCTCGGGTTGCCCTGTGTCCAGGAGGGTGGCAGCTTCCTGGGCTGCGGCCTGCACGGGGGACAGAGAGAGAGGCGTGGAGTGCGGGGTCAGCCCCAAAAGCCCAGCAGCCCTTGCCCTGCAGAGCTCCTCTGCTGGCTCTCTGCGGAGGGTGGATCCCTGGGCTGCACAGGAGCTGCCTACTGCTTCTGGAGGGGCTGGCTGACCATGGACAAGAGCAGGAGGCGGGGGCGGGCATGGCAGAGGACCCCTCCCTGTAATTCCCACTGCCCTGGACTGCAAAGTGCTGTTCAGACCCTTGGGGGCCCAGCAGCAGCCCAAGGCCTGCCATCCTCGCCCACTGCCCCCCTCCCTGGGCCTCAGGTCAGGCACCTGGATTTCCCTCTCTGTCCCCACCTGCTGGGCCCAGCTTCCCTTGCCTGGCGACCGCAGGGGCCTCCTGCCTCCGCCCCTCTTGGCCAAGCCACTTCTCCAACAGGCTGACAGGGCTGCTGCCCGGCCCCTCCACTCTGCCCAGCTTCTGAAGGCTGCCCCAGGCCTCAGGACAGTGGCAGACATGGCCCTTGCCCGGTCTCGGAGCACATGCTCCCTGGTCCCTCTCCCTGGGGCTGCTGGACGGAGGGTATAGCCTTGGCTGCGGGCTGCGCCTGGCTGTCCCCCCACTCCTCCCAGGCACTTTCCTGAGCCCACCCAGACCTAATCGTCTCATCTGAGACCCAGTTTCTTCACAGAGTCAACCACGACCAGAAATCCGCCTGCCTCACTGGGTTCCTCCTCTGCTCAAGAACCTGCAAGGGCTCCCCACTGCCTGCGGAACGCCGCTCGGTGCAGGCCCCGCCTTTCTCGCTGGCCCTGCTTCTGTCTTCTAGCAGCTCGGCAGCCCTCGACGTTCCCTCCCCACTGGGGGCGCAGCGCCCTCGGGACCCTGCCGGGCGCGGCCGCCAGGGGCGAACGAAGCCCAGGCCTCTGCCCGGGGTCCGTGTGAGGAGCCAGGGGGCTCCGGGGTCGCGGCTTTGCTGCTGGGCTCCCGCGGGGCACAGTGTGGTCTCTGCTGCCAGCTATGAGCGGCACCAAGCAGGGCAGGGGCTCGAACCCCCGTCCCTCGCCTGCTGCGCGGCCCGCGGGACCGCCCCTCTCCCGGCCGACGCGACTGACCCTGACGCGCAGCCCACGGCCCGGGGTGGTCGCGAAGCCTCGGCCCACGCAGGCCCCGCATATCTGGGCCCACGGGCCGCCTCCGCGGGGGACGGCGCTCGCTCTGACCCCGGGGGTCCCGGATCCGGCGCGCGGGGAAAGGCCGCGGACCGCGCAGGCGCAGTGCCACCCGGAGGGGGCGGCCTGAGCGGGGCGGCGCGCAGGAAGCGGGGCGAAACCACTTCCGGCTCCCTTTCCGCTCGGCCCCTGTCTCCAGGCAACCGTCCGCGTCCCGCAGATTCTTGCCTCCGCCGGAAGCCCAGTCCCAGTCTGCGGCCTGGGAGACCCCGCCAGCCGCGCTCCGGGCTCGGCGACCCCGCTCTGGGGACCGCGTCCGGCCGCCGCCTCTGGGCTCCGGGGCCATGGAGCCAACCAGGCTTCCCGCCCCCGCCTGGCCTTCCTCCGCACTTGACCCCAGCGCAGCCCCGGAACGCCCCAGAGACCCCCAGCCCGGCCTCCGCCTCTAGGGCCGGGGAGCCCAGCCTCAGCCTTGCCCTCGGCGCGGGCGGCTGCGCTCCCTCCGTCACCCAACTGCCCCTCGCGCTGGTGCAGCCCGACTCCCCCGTGAGATGCCTCTGCGCTTCCTGGCGTTTCTGTTTCCCGCGTGGCCCCCGAGTGCGAGAACCCGCTGGTGTCAGGAAGCACTGGGAGGTGAAATCCTGCCCAGGCCCCACCGGGGATGGTTCTGAGTCCCGGGGACCCCAAAGCCCGCTGTGCTCTTGGCCTCCCCGCCTGCCTTCTCCCCGCCTGCCCTGGGCTTGGGGTGGGCTTCCTGCCAGGCAAGGTGCCCCGGGCTGGCTCAGTCTGCCCTGAGGGCAGGGCCCCCTCCCCTCTCTTGCACTCAAGTCACCTGTGGCTTATACACCCCAGATAAAGAGGCCGAGAGGTCGGTGGGATCGTAGGGCTAAGGTGGCCAGAGGCCGTCTTCCTGGGCCAGAACTGGGTGCCTCTCACCCCGCCCCAAACCCTACTAAAAGCAACCCAACTGCAGAGCGAAGATGGCTGCTGGAGCGGCGGGCCCAGGGGTCTCAGGACTGTGTGCTGGGGAAGGTCGGGGTGGGAGATGTGTGGGGTTCTTTTGCGCACCTGGGCAAGGCTCTGCAGCTCCGAGGCCTCCAGGAGACGCAGCAGGCAGCTGAGGTCTGAGGCATCTGCCTCGGCCAGGCCCTGCAGGTCCCGTGCAGCCCCTGGCACGTCTCCCTTCTTGAGCCGGAGCAGACCCAGCCGGGCCCGGGCTGCCTCTGACGCTGGGGCAGAGTGCAGGGTGTTTTGCAGGTGGGTGCCAGCCTCCTCGTACCTGCCTGTCAGGGATTCAGGATCACAGTCAGTGCGTGGGGTGGGGCAGAGGTGCAGGAGAGGCGAGACTGGCTGGCTGCTCCTTCCCTGCCCTATGCTGGCTTGGGGGAGCTGCTGACGGCTCAGCCTCAGGAAGGAGGAGCCGGGAGCAGAGGTGCACCGTGATTCCAGTGAGATCACACGGACTCACCGCTGACCCCACTCCATGATGCTGAGCCCCTCACCATGGGCACTAGAAGGGGCTGCTTTCTCTTCCGGGCAACTAGAGGCAAACTCTGGGCCTACGGGAGCAGAGTGGCACGGAGGGAGCAGCCCTGGGGCCCCCAAAGCCCTTGGGGGGGCAAATGCAGACTGCAGAGGGAGCTCCCTTCGGAATTAATGGACCAGGGGATGTAGAACCTGCGGGAAAGACCTACATGTTGGCACACGGGGCTTACAACAGTTCCTCCTGGAACAGGGCCTGACATCCTGTGGGCACCCGGGAAACAATGGCTGGAGGTTCGTGAATGAATGAGGGGGCGAAGTATCTGAGGCCTTTTATGGACCAAGATCACCCCTCAGTTTCTCCTCCATGCAAGCAAAGAGCCAGCTGGGTAAAGCAGCGGAGAGCTCTCTACGCACCAGGCCTCACCGCGGGCAGGGCCAGAGGTCATGGGATTGGGCTGGAGGGGACCTCGGAAGCAGCTGTGGTTGGGGTTTCTTTCCCCCATTTTACAGAAGAGGATACAGAGGTCAGTGGAGCGGGGATGGAAGCCCAGACCCCGTGTTCCCCTCTTTGGGGCCGCGCATACCCCGTGCCGTGAGAACGTCTGCGAGGAGGAGGTGCCAGTGCGGCTGCTGTGCATCGATTCTGATCAGCGCCTCCGCCACAGCAAGAAGGTCTTGGGAGTCCTTGTCCTCGAGAGGGGCCCCAGGGTCCAGCAGCTGGCTCAGAAGAGCCTGGCAGCGGGAGTAGAGGCCCTGCGTGATGAGGGCCCGGGCTTCTGGCTTCAGAGAGCGGAGCTCGGGGACCACTGTCTCGGGGCCAACCTTCAGAGCAGACAGGAAGTCGTCCAGGGCTTCCTGCAAGGAGGGAGGGCGGGGCGGGTAGAGAGACTGGGCAGAGGGCAGAGCTGGAGGGCTGGCTCCGTCCTTCTCATTCCCTGGGGTCCTAGAGAGTCTGAACACCCGGCTTCCTGCCCCTTCCCGCTTCCCTGTGGCTGCAGCCTCCTGCCATCACCGACACCCTTAGGTGAGTGTCTTACAGCCTGAAACATCACCGACACCCTGAGGCGAATGTCCTACAGGCTGGAACAGCACCTAGCGCCCACAGGTGACAGCCTGAAACATCACCGACACCCTCAGGTGAGTGTCCTACAGCCTGGAACAGCACCCAACACCCTCAGGTGAGTTTCTTACAGCCTGGAACAGCACCCAGAACCCACAGGTGAGTGCCTTAGAGCCAGAAACATCACCGAAACCCTCAGGTGAGTCTTACAGCCTGGAACAGCACTGACACGCTCAGGCGAGTGTGTGACAGCCTGGAACAGCACCCAGCACCCTCAGGTGAGTGTCTTAGAACCTCAAACAGCATCCAACACCTTCAGGTTAGTGTGTGACAGCGTGGAACAGCACCGACACCCTCAGATGAGTGTCTTACAGCCTGAAACAGCACTGACATTTTCAGGAGAGTGTCTTACATCCTGGAATGAAACCCAGCACCCTCTGTTGAGTGTGTGACAGCCTGGAACAACACCCAACACCCTCAGGCGAGTGTGTGACAGCCTGGAACAGCACCCAACACCCTCTGGTGAGTGTGTGACAGCCTGGAACAACATCCAACACCCTCAGGTGAGTGTGTGACAGCCTGGAACAACACCCAACACCCTCAGGCGAGTGTGTGACAGCCTGGAACAGCACCCAACACCCTCTGGTGAGTGTGCGACAGCCTGGAACAACACCCAACACCCTCAGGTGAGTGTGTGACAGCCTGGAACAACACCCAACATCCTCTGGTGAATGTCTTACAGCCTTCAACAGCACTTAACACCCTCAGGTGAGTGACTTACAGCCTGAAGCAGCACCCAATACTCTCAGATGACTGTATTACAGCCTGGAACAACACCCATCACTCTCAGGTGAGTGTCTTACAAGCTGAACCAGCACCGAAACCCTCAGGTGAGTATCTTACATCCTGGAACAGCACCCAGCATTCTCAGGTGACTGTCTTACAGGCTCAACCAGTACCCAACACCCTCAGGTGAGTGTCTTACAGCCTGAAATTGCAGAGACACCCTCAGGTGAGTGTGTTACAGCCTGGAACACCACCGACACTATCAACCAGTACCCAACACCCTCAGGTGAGTGTCTTACAGCCTGAAATTGCAGAGACACCCTCAGGTGAGTGTCTTACAGCCTGCAACAGCACTGACACCCTCTGGTGAGTGTGTGACAGCCTGGAATAGCACCCGACACCCTCAAGTGAGTGTGTGACAGCCTGAAACAGCACCCACCACCCTAAGGTGTGTGTCTTACAACCTGAATTGGGTTTTGGCTTTATTGTTGTTGAGCTTTAGGACTTCTCTGTGGATTCTGGATATTAATTCCTTATCTGTGACTTTCAAATATTGTGGTTTTCTTCTATCCTGTCAGTTGTCTTTTTCCTCTGTTATAATAGTGTCCTTTGGTGCATAAAAGTTTTAATTTTCATGAAATCCAACTTTATTTTTTCTTTTGCTGTGTGTGCATTTGGTGCTGTGGCCCAGAAGTCATTGCCAAATCCAACGCTCTGAAGCTTCCCCCAACCATGTTTATTTCTAAGAGATTTATAGTTTTAGGTTTTTTGATCTATTTTGAATTAATTTTTGTATGTAGTGTTAGGAAAGAGTCCAATTTCATTCTTTTACATAGTTTTCCCTGCAACATTTGTGGAAAAGACTGTCCCTTCCCCATTGAATGGTCTTGGTCAAATCATTTGACCATATGTGGGAGGGTTCATTTCTGGACTCTATTCTGTTCCATTGGGCTCTGTGTCTGTTTTTGTGCCAGTACCACACTGTTTTGATCACCGTAGCTTTGTAGTAAGTTTTAAAATCGGGAAGTGTGAGTCTTCCAGCTTGTTGGTTCTTTTTCAGGATTGTTTTGGCTGTTTGGGGTCCCCTAAGAGTCAATAGGAATTTTAGAATTTAGCTTTTTCATTTCTGTAAAAAACATTATTGAAATGTTGACAGGGACTGCATTCAATCTGTAGATCACTTTGAATAATACTGACATATTACCAATATGAAGTCTTCCAATCCATGAACACAGAATGTTTCTATTTATTTACATCTTCTTTAATTTCTTCCAGCAATGTTTGTAGTTTCCACCTCATTGGTTAATTTCTAAGTGTTTTATTCTTCTTGATGCTATTGTAGATGGAATTACAGTTGACCCTTGAACGACATGGGTTAAAACTATGTGGGTCCATTAATAGGTGATTCTTTTTCAATAAATACAGTCAGCCTCTTGTATTGGTGGGTTCTGAATCCACAGCCAAATAAATGCAGATCAGTTCTTGGGATGTGAAACCCACGTATACGGAGGGCCAACTTTTTGTATTTAGGGGTTGGAGGTTCCACAGGGCTGACTGCAGGACTTGAGTATGTGGGGATCTTAGTATCTGAGGGTTGTCCTGGAACCAATTCCATGTGGATACCAAGAGATGACTGTATTTTATTAATTCCCATTTTCGGTTGTTCATTATTAATGTATAAAAATGCAACTGATTTTTGTGTTGCCTTTGTATCTTGCTACTTTGCTGAATTCATTTATTAGTTCTAACAGTTCTTTGTGTGTGTGTGTGTGTGTGTGTGTGTGAGAGAGAGAGATCTTTAGGGATTTCTACATATAAGATCTGTGAACAGAGATAATTTTACTTCTTTTCAAATTTGGATGGTTGGTAATTTTTTTCTTGCCCAGTTATCTGGCTATAACTTCCAGTGCAATGTTGAGGAGACTCACAAAAGCAATCATCCTTGTTTTATTCCTGATCTTAGAGAAGCTTTTCTTTTTCACCAATGAGCATGATGTTTGCTGTGGGTTTTGCATACATGGATTTTATATTGAGGCAGTTTCTTTCTATTCTTAGTTTGTTGAGTGTTCTTATCATAAAAGGGTGTTGAATGTTATCAGATGCTTTTCTGCATCAGTTGAGATGATTGTTTTTTCTTCTTCATTCTGTTAATGTGGTATATTACATTAACTGACATTTGTATGTTGAACCATCCTTGCATTCTAGCAATAAATCTCACTTGGTCGTGGTGTGTCATCCTTTTAACAATTGCTGAATTTGTTTTGTTAGTATTTTGTTGAGGATTTTTGACTCAATATTCATATGGGATGATGGTCTGTAGGTTCTTGTAGTGTCTTTGGCTATGGTATCAGGGTAATGCTGGTCTCAAAGAATGAATGAGGAGGTGTTCCTTCCTCTTTAACTTTTTGGAAAAGTTTGAGGATTTGAGGATTAAATGTTTGGTGGAATTCACCAGTGAAGCCATCAGGTCCTGGCCTTTGTTGGGAGATTGTTGATTACTGACTCAATCTTTTTACTAGTTATAGGTCTATTCAGATCTTCTGTTTCTTCATGATTTAGTCTTGGTAGGTTTTGTGTTTCTAGGGATTTGTCCACTTCATCCAGGTTAGCTGATTTGCTGACCTACAATTGTTCCTATTACTGTCTTATAATTCTTTTTTATTTCTGTAGAATTGGTAATAATGACTTCATTTTCATTTCTGATTTCAATGATTTGAATTTTCTCTTCCTTAGTCCACCTGGCAAAAGGTTTGTCAAATTTTATCTTTTCAAGGAACCAACTTTTGTTTTCATTGATTTTCTCTATTCTCCTCTGTTTTGTTAATCTCTGCTGTAATCTCCTTTCTCCCTCCCTCCCTCCCCTCCCTCCCCCCTTCCCCCCCCCCCCCCCCTCCCCCCCCTCCCTCCCTCCCTCCCTCCCTCCCTCCCTCCCTCCCTTCCTTCCTTCCTTCCTCTCTCTCTCTCTCTCTCTTTCTGTTCATTTGTTCTTTTTCTAGTTTCTTAAGTTATAAAATTAGGTTGCTGACTTGAGATCTTTCTTGTTTGTTAATGGAAGCGTTTACAGCTCTGCATTCCCCCAGCACTGCCTTCCCTGTGTCTCGTAATGTGGGTGTGTTGTTTTCCTCTTCACTCGTCTCTAAGCATTGCGTGACTTCTTCTGTGATTTCTTCTGTGATTCGTTGGTTGTTTAGTCCCCTTCTCCTTTTATAGTGGGGGAAACTGAGGCCTGGGGAGGTGAAGTGATTTGGCTGCGGTTGCTTAGCTGGACCTGGACCAGACTTTTCTGGGCTCCACAGAGACAGTGCTCAGGGCAGGAGGCCTGGGCTGAGCACACAGGTCCAGTGTGAGTCCCTCAGAGTCACACAACATGGAATTCAGTGCAGTTGCAAGAAAGGAATGCTCATAAACAAACAGAACAGAAACCATCTTCCAGCCACAGGCCTCCCCAGCTGAATGGGATCTGTCCTCTTGCCACTGCCCCTCTCCCAACTTTTAAGTTGGAGCAGTTTCTGCAGAAGAGTCTTAAATGCATAGATACTGAACTTCAGAGCAGGTAAATGGAGCTCAGATCAGGGTCCAGGGGCTGCAGCCCTGCCCCTGTCTGTGGCAGACATGGCTGACCCAGGCCAGCAGCTACCCCTCTGTGCATGTCCTCCAAACCCCTCAACACATGGGGCCAGGCAGCCCCCACCAATGCAGCCAAGGGCACACCTCCTGGCCAACACCCCCAGAGGGACCCCTGCAGGCACTGAGAGTTATTTAAGCTGGGGAGGACCCCTAGCACCTCTGAAAGCTTGCATGTCTATGCAGACGGAGGCTGGGAGGACGAAAGGGCAGGACTCCCAGAAACTGGGTTTGTGGGGACCAGGCTCCCATGAGCCGCAATACAGGTGGGGATGGGAGCACAGGTTTCAACGGGCATCTCACTGTTCAGGACGGCTTACCCGGCTCCCTGTCTCCTTGGGGTAGAGGAAGGCAGCACCCTGGGTCCCCCACCCCTGCTTGCCCAGACTCAGGTGGGGAGTGGGGCGGCACCTGCAGCTGGTCCAGGGCCAGGTGCACCAATGCCCGTCCGCACAGCCCCTGCACGTTCCCTGGCTCAGCCCGCAGCACTGCGTTGAAGTCGAACATGGCTGTCTTCTTCTGGCCCAGGAACCCATAGCATCGGGCTCGGGCAAGGAGGGACTCATTTGCCTCGCTTCCTGCAGGAAGAGGATATGGGGTCAGGACAAGACTGTGCTGCCCCCCCCCCCCAGTGTCCCCCCTGCCCAACCTGGGGAGAGCAGAGGGTGCATGAGCTTCAGGGCCCACCTTGGGGAACCCCAGGCCACTGGGCCCCAAGACACACCGAGATAGGGTGGACTTGGGAGCATGGGCTGCAGGGCAGGAGGAGTCCAGCCAGGACTGGAGACAGCGGGGGGCTGCTGAGAGGAGGGCGCACCGCAGCTGCCTCTGAAGTCGGGCAAGGGCAGGGATTCAGGCTCCTGGGGCGGGGCCTGGAGCGGCAGCAGCAGGAGGGTGGGGGCTTGGATGTGGGGCAGCCTGGGAGGAGCCCCCTGGATTCCCAGCATAAGAGACCCCTCCCCAAAGAGGCTGTCATTACCTCGCCCCTCTGGGTGTCTGTCCAGTAATGGACATGGGACAACATGCTGGGCCACTCTGGGCTTGCAGGCCAGATACCGTCCCGCTGACACGTGCAGGGCATGCGCTCTGTGCCAGGCACTGTCTCCGAATGAGCTCACCGAATCCCCACTCCAACCCCACGTGGACTCCTCTGCCACCCCGCTCTGAGAGAGGACAGCGAGGGTGCTCACCAGGTGCACGGCCAGACTCTGCAGCCCCCCCGATCTAGGTCCAGGCCCTCATGCTCCCTGCACCCCGGGAGATCCCTGCGAGTCCCGGGGAACCTCCCCTTCCTTCCAGGTGCCTGGTGCCCCCCGCCCAGCAGCCCTGACTCCGGGAAGCAGGCAGCACCCCCGTGCTTGGTGTCCCAGGGTAGGGAGGCCAGGCGTGCGCAGGCAGAGCCTCAGTCACTGTTTCTAGGAAGGGCTGAGGGGATCAGGGACCTTGCCTCCCCTCATTAGCTAGGAAAGCGGCTCTTCTACCTTCAGGGATGGGGGTGCTGGGCACAGCTCAGTTCCCAGCTCAGGCCCCAGGTCTCAGAGCCCGGTCTCAGGCCCCGGTGCACCCACCTTGATGGTGAGATGCCCTCAGTGAGTGGTCCCTGCCATGTCCACCCTGTGGGTGTTCCTGAGGCTCCGTACCTGGGGAGTGTGTGTGTCCCCGCCTTCCAGCATGGCAGAAGTTCCCCATGACCCTCATGCCTGGCACAGGACTAGGCCCTAAGGGCATGTGGGCAGCTCCTACCTGCGGCAAAGATGGCCAGAGAGAGGTAGGTGATGGCTTCCCTGGTGTGGGCCCTGCCGTCGGCCCCAACTGGCCGTGCCCGCAGGATGGCCAGGGCCCTGGCGTGGCAGTGGCCTTGAAGCAGCTGCCGGTCCTCGAGGCAGAAGACATCCAGGGTGGGCTGGAGGCAGGCAGTGTCACCGGACTGGACCAGCTTCTTTACCAGCTGCAGGGGCACCACAGTCACTGCCCATGCCCTGGGCACCAATGCCCTGGGCACTGCTCCATACTGATGTCCCTGCTACCCCCCACCCACCGTCACTGCCCTAGGGTCCACCTGGTGCCAACGCCCCCAGCCCCCTCCTTGCTGCCCCAGGGCTCACCCAGTGCCAACGGCCCCGGCGATTCCTCAGCCCATCCTCTCTGCCCCAGGGTCCACCCTGTTGCGTCACCCGGATATCCCCCACTCCCACCTCACTGCCTCCAGCAGCCTTGGCTGTGCCTGTGAGCCTGGGGGCTTCTGCCTATCTGAGCACTAGGAGGGTGGGCGTGTGTTGTCGCCGTGGCCATTTGAGCCTTTGAGGGTATTCCGTCTCCTCATAGGTGGGGGTCCCACAGTGGGCAGGGACTGTGTCCCCCCAGCTTGCTGCAGAGGCGTAGGCAGGGATGGGGAGCCCTGAGCCGCTCCCGACTGCTGCATGGCATTGGTGGGCTGGGGCTCTCTGGGATCCTGAGTCTAGGTCTCCTCCGTCCCATGGAGGTGGAGACCCCACTCCAGTGGGCACATTGGAGCAAGGTCCAAATGAGAAGCGGAGGAAGGAGCTTTCAGGTCATGGAGGGTCAGGAGGCACCAGGGAAGCAGGACCAGGTCTCTGGGTAAGACGGGGTCTCGACCCCCCAAACTCCCTTCTCCGCGGCTCCATCTGAAGGAGGCCCAATGCTGCCCCCTGCTGGCCGCTGGTGGGCACAAGAGTCCCCCAAGCTGAGCAAGAGGACGCAGGTTCAGGGCATTGGAACCTGGGCAGGGCAAGGAGGTCAGGAGGCAGACCAGGTCCCGGGGGGAGGAAGACGTGACAGGGTCCTCACCTCAGGCCCCAAGGCCTGAATCCCACCAGAGCGTAACCTTTAGACCCCTGTTCAAACAGGAATCTGGGATAGCCTGAGGCAGGTGAGGGTCTGCCTTTCCTGGGAGCAGGGGGTCTTGGAGGCAAGCGGGAAGGGCCCCTCTGCTACCCACCCCAAGGCGGGGTTGCATCCTAGCCTGGGTTATGTGAGAGACTTGGAAGAAGCTCAGCCTGCGGCGGGTTCCTGGCCCTCCTGCTTCGTAACCACAGTGAAGCAAGGATGACGAAGCAGCTATGCATGGTGGGGACCTGCCAGCCCTGGGGACCTGCCCCAGCCAATTTCCAGGACATCCCATGGGACCAGGACCCAGATGAGGAGACTGAAGGTCAGAGAGGCGAGGGCCTGCAGCAGGTGCAGAGCTGGGGTGAATGCATCACCTGCTCCAAAGCCTGGACTCTGGGGTGAAGAGCTGGGGCAGAATGCCCTCCATCTGCTCCAAAGCCAGGGCCACGGGAGGCCTGTGCCCTCCTCCCAGCTGGGCCTGTTCCCACCTGTCCTCTGTGACCCCCCGGGCCTCCTCACCTGGTTGGCGTCATAGAAGAAGCCCCTTCTCAGCTGCAGCAGGGCCAGCCGCGCCAGCACGGGGGCCGCCCGGGGCCTCCGGGAAAGGGCCACCAGCAGGACCTTGTGCGCCTCCTCCAGGCAGCCCAGGCGGTACAGAGCGTCAGCCGCCAGGAGGCGAGAGGCCTCGTCCTCTGCATCCAGCTCCATCAGCAGTGTGGCCAGCTGGTGCACGCCGCGGGCATCCCTGTGTGGAGAGTGGCTCAGGGGGCTGCCCCTTTGGACAGTCCCTCCACCTGCCCAGGTGATTGGGACATGGAGAAATCCCATCTCCAGGCACCCAGCCTGGGCAGCTCCCTCTGGGGGGACCCTCACTCCACGCCATCCCCAGAAGCCAAAGATGCCCTTCCCAGCACGAGGCCCTCACCCTCTCCCTCGCTGTCCCCCCACCCTGTGGGAGGCGGGATTAAGGTGGTGTAGACAGGCAGTGGCAGGGCTGTCCCTGAGCGGACCCTGCCTCAGTTTCCTTTTCTGCAAAAGCACAGACAACAATCTGGCCTTGCTGGGCCCAGGGGTGTGTGCGTAGGCAGAACAAGAGAACACACAGCTGCACATGGCATGCTCCTGTGTCCACACGGGAATGTTAATGAACGCTCACTGGAAGTGGGGCCAGAGCCTCAAATTTGACAATTCCCAGAGAACGAATTTAAATGCCAGCACATAATCAGAGTTCCTCACCACCAGCGAACCAAAGCCACGCAAATTAAACACCCAGGAGGCAGAGGAACTGTGTGTGTGTGTGTGTGTGTGTGTTGTGTGTGTTTTAGGTGTTGTATGTGTGTTGCATGTGTTGTGTGTTGTATGTGTTGTGTATGGTATGTGTGTGTTGTGTATGTTTTTCGTGTGTTGTATATTTTTTTGTGTCGTGTTGTGTGTGTTGTGTGTGGTGTGTCTGGTTGGTGTGTGTGTGTTGTGTGTTGTGTCTGTGGTATGTGTGGTGTATGTGTGGTGTGTGTGTGGTGTGTGTAGTGTGTGTGGTAATATGTTGTGTGGTGTGTGGTGTGTATGGTGTGTGTTGTGTGTGTGTTGTCTGTGTTGTATGTGTGGTGTCAGTTGTGTGTGTGTCTGTGGTGTGTGTGTTGTGTGCATGTGGTGTGCCTTTGTTGTGAGTGGTGTGTTGTTTGTGTGGTGTGTTTATGGAGTGTGTGTGTGGTGTGTGTGTGGTGTGCGGTGTGTGTGTGGTATGTATGGTGTGTGTTGTGTGTTGTGTCTAGTGTGTCTGGTGTGTGTGATGTTTGTGGTGTGTGTGTGGTGTGTTGTGTGTTGTGTGTTTTGTGTTGTCTAGTGTGTGTCTGGTGTGTGGGATGTGTGTGTGGTGTGTCTGTGGTGTGTGTGGTGTGTGTCTGTGGTGTGTGTGTGGTATGTGTGGTGTGTGTGGTGTGGGTGTCTGTGGCGTGTGTGGTGTGTGTCTGTGGTGTGTGTGGTGTGTGGTGTGTGTGGTGTGTGTGGTGT